GCACACATACCTTCGGGTCTGAAGAAAATTTCTAACCATTTTCTCTGTATAATTCTACATGCTCGAATTTTTCTACCGATTTCTCTTGCACGCTTAATTCTTCTAACGGCGTTTTGCATCCACAATTCATAACGGTGTAATGCATACTCATTATCATAAATATATCCCGAAATAGATTTTTGTTCGATTTTCAGTAAATATTCATCATAATTTACACCACAAAAGGAATTTCCAGTACAATGAGAAGCCCAATGTCTCTCCATTCCTATATGGTTGTAATTGCCTGTATTTTTGGTTCGTTTTCCAGTATATACTAATTGATTACAAGAAAAGCAGATAGCAATACCAATTTCAGGTGCATAGCTTTTCCAAAATCCATTAACCTCAGACCTATATGTTATTAACTTTCTAGCTTCAAAGTATCTTTTGTTAGGTAGGAGATTATTCTCTCTGAAATACTGTAAACGAGGCCAAATTCGATTCATCCACTCACTGGGAGTTTCATTATCACGAATTTGTGGCATCTTACAATATTCATCCCATTCAGCGTCGGTACAATTGGTTCCACGTCTTTCACTTAAGCTAGCCATTGTATATGATCTATTTATAGTATTTATTGGAGTTATATGTGATTATATCGTATTTAAGGATTTAGACCTATTAGATTTAATAACTTTATACTCTAGAATAACTGGATTCAATTTTAGTCCAAACACTCGAAGAGCGCCCCATAGGGCCTGGATTCTCCAACCATCTCTTCAAGAGTGTTATATTCGCCATATTTTGTGGGGGTATTTGTGGTGAGAATGAGTGAGATATATAGGTATAAATATAGTTTGTATCATTGTTCGTAATTTGAGGGATAAACATATCACAATTCATTTTTGTTCGATATAATGATAGAACCAGGTTTATTTTTCGTGAAGAAATAAATAACGATTCATATAATTATTTGAGTCTTTGTTCCACGAGATTATTTCTGTGACACCGCTAAATTATTTTCTCACTATAGATTATGGAATTAATAAAACCTTTTCCTTATTGTATATAGCTTTACCGATATGAAAAAATACAAATGAGACTCAAAAATGATATGAATGAGGAGAGTTTATTGTTCTTTATCAGTAATAATATCAAAATTCATATGTTACGGAACTTGAGATCCGAGATCGCCAAAATCTGTCTTATTTTTTATTCTACAAAAGCGATCGCCAAACTGAATGGTTTAATTTCCAATAAATGACGAAATATATTCAGTGCTTGGCGCTTGTGACCTGACTTGCTTTACGAAGAAAGGATCTGGAAAATGGTTGGGGTAACGTAATTACTAATCATGTATTTTTTTTCTTCTAACAGGTAACAAATGAAACGTATAAATAAGGCGGATTTGTGAGGCTTCATTTCTTATCTTATCGAATTTTTTTTTAAGGTACGCATTATGAATAAATTTTTGAGTCAGAAATATAGTTACAACTTCATGTATTAATTAATAGTTTTGTTTTTTCTTAGCAGTTACGATGTCAGAAAACAAAATTTTATATGTGGAAGGAGAAACAAAAGTCTTTGATACTGATCACGAGAACATCCGAGTAAAGATTGAAGTGTTAAATGAAGACGTCGCGAGGGTTTTTCTTGTAGATAAAAATGATATTCCAATTGACGATTTAGAGCGGAGCTCATGCCAAGGCATAGAAAATGTAGTTTTTATGAATGTAGCGACTAAAAATAAAGTTTCAACTGTACTCGTTGAGAATAGAAAAAGTTATCTCATAACTTGGATAAATAGCTACGAGTTATCTGTCGATGGTAGGAGAATTTTTATGTTAAAACAACGGAAAGAGCAAAGTGGTGAGATTATACCATCATCATTGGCCAGCTATTTTCAAAAGAAGTAATTTGCAGTATATAACTGCGATATGTTTTTTATTTATTTTTATGTTGTTATTTCGGTAACATTTTTTATATATCAATAAAGTAAGGTTCTATGTAACCATTTATCTCGATAAGAGAAATTATGCAAATATGTGTCTTTGACACTAGCTCCGCTATAATGATCGGCAAAAGTAATGGATTACCCATAGAAAAACAATTAATGTATGTTAAATATTGTGTTGTGGAATGTACCTTATATTACTATGATTCATATTCCGAGATCGCCCATAGATAATAAATTAATTTCATACATCCAAATTTGACCAGAGATCACCCGCTCCGAGATGTGCAAATCCGAAATGAAGACACGATGAAGGTACGTTGAAGACACGATGAAGGTACGATGATTTTTTTTTTCTTATAAAAACATATGGAAATATCATATCTCAGTTGAACATCCGTTGAAATTAAATTTTTGTGATGTGGACCGATGATCAACTGCGCTTACTAATTGATGAAAGAAAAAATCGAAATGGAGAGTATTATAATATTCCCGGTAGTAGCAAGGTAGACTTTTGGAATAATATTGCAATTACAATCAACCAACGATTTGAGACTACCTATACAGGACAACAATGTAATAATAGATTTCAGAATCTTGTTAGAGATTACAACGTAAGCGTTAAATTCTATATACTATTTTATCTATGACATTTCTAATGTACTTTCATATTGCCTATTTTACTGAATTTATTCTAGTCGATGTGCCAATACATAGCTGGCAGTAGAACCGGGAAGAGGAGCAGAGCAGGTGAACGTTTTTTTGAAGATTTTAATTCTCATTTTTGGGAGAGGCCTGGTAAGATCAAGATCACCTATAATATATCACTGTAGTGGTAGGTAAATATATAGATAACATATGAATTTACTTCGTATATGAAATATAGAAACCCCATTCGACATATTGCATAATACAAATACATCCACCAAAAGACGTCGCCGTAACCGTACCCCACCACCATCTTATGAAGTGTCAACAATTCTAAGTACGAGTCGCCGTGAATCTACCACTAATCAAAGGAATCGATCCGCATCACCCACTCAAAGAGCGACTAGTGAAAGGAATGAGAATACCACTGAAACGGCCACCACCAATAATAATCAAGATAATATAAGGAATGAGAATACCAGTGAAACAGTCACCACCGGTAATAATCAAGATAATGGAAACAATGTAAATAATGTTAATGATGTGAGTGGGAATTCAGGTCATAACGTGAATGATGTAGATGAAAATTTAGATAATGCTACATACTTATCTTCATCTGAGTTGGCAAATATTACCACATCCCTTAATATATCTGCATCACAAAATGACAGTGATGTTAGTATGTTCGATGTTGAAGGTAGTCAACCACCTTCTTATATGGAATCTATAAATGAAGAGAGGAATCCGTGAAGCAGGATGTTAATACATCTGAAAAAGTAATAAAAAAAATATTATATTCCTTCTTGATTAAACGTAATTGCTAGTATATGTCCATCCTTTTAATTGTATTCTTTTCATCGCCATAAACGAAGAAGTATGTTATCCATCTCATATATTTCAACATGAATTGATTTAAAGAAGGAATTAAATTTATTGCAAAGCAGGCCTGAAGGGGTGAGCGACCCTAAAGGGTCATGACACTTATGTGCCTTGATAATCCCTCTGCATAATCAATCAGATAATCGGGCCCTGTGGGGTGACTCTACGAGTCATATGTTGTACATGGCTATGTAATGAAAATTATTTTTAGAATTTCGATGTGTACCACCTGACTATATATAATGTAATATGCATGCATGTTTATTTGTGCAATTAACCAAATTTGATTAATTACCTCATGTACATACTTTTTCTTTGTAATGGTTTTTTTTTGGCGTAAATACTACTTTCTTCCAGTTTATTATACCCATTCTATAGATCCAAAAGAAGATTTAGAAAGAGATAAACAAAAACGTTTAAAAGGACAGTATATCGAAGTTATTGTTACTTGACGCTTTTACATTAGCACTAAAATATTTTAATCTTTTTTTTTATAACAATTTAACTACGTAAAATGTCTAATACAGGATTATACAAAAAAGTTTATAATTTTCTTCATAATTCCCCCCTAGAACATATTACTGCAGTTTCAATAGTCCATCAAATAATAGAAGAAGAGCCGTGGTTTCCAAAAGAAGATTCGAGACAATTGATTCATAATGTGATCACGGCTATAAAAAATGAGCTTGAAGAGAATTCAGAGAAATATAGAAAACTTAATGAGATCCCTTTTAAGGTTAGTTTTTTTCCTACTCTCAAAAATTATTGTTTATCATCGAATGATGAATAGCGTAGAATCTTAAAACCAGATTGAGTAGATATCCAGAGCCTGCAAGCACAGGTTTAATCATTATTGTATTAATCCTTAGACGCATGGGGAAGTCTTCTTTGTCTTGGTTTGAGATGGATATTATATACGAATTATGTGAATTGTCATCTATGTGCTGGCCACGCATAGTTGGTGATTTTACATAATATATTCTGAAGAGTGTGCACACGTTTTTATTATAAGTTTCTCTAGAGCAACCAAATCTAACTTATTTATTTCTAAGCTAGTTTGATGATGCTTTCGAAGGTGTGTGTAGCCTTAGAGATATTGATTTTGCGAAGCGAGATGAAGAGGTGTCTATTGAGGAGATTGAAATGAATTTACGGAAATTAAAGTTGAATCTTGGTAAAAGTTCAGCTCCATATGCCAAAAAATTAAGCAAATACCTTAAAAAAATCAAACCTTCTGACCTTTCATGGAAAGATCCAAAAGCAAGTCAAGTAATTAGTTACGATTCGGATATTATACAGCACTTATCTGTGGAGGCAGAAAATGAATATAAAGATTTTATGGAGCCAGTAGAACATATGGAGAGATTAACCCCTCATCGTATCAGAGATGTGTGTGATGAATTTGTGATGACTTATAGCAATACCTTATATGAGGAAATACCTATTGAACTCTCACATGGAAATTGGGATGAGTCGGAAGAAGTTCTCGAAGAAATTGCATCTGGAATTCTCGATATAATGTGAGTATAATATGGATTTTATTCTAAAAAAATATTGATTACATTTTTTCTGCTATTTGAACAGAGGTGATGTTTGGAGGAATCCAGCATTTGGAAATAAGTTTATTAAATCTCAGAATGAAGGAACATATGTTACAGATATTATAGTTCCTATGGTGAAAGCTTCATTAAAAAAATTACCAATAAAAAGTTTCGCTTTTGTTAGCACGTAAGTATAATATTATTATCTTTTCCGGATAATCATACATTTATATTTTTTATTCATTTAGAGCGGAATGACAGAGTATAGCAAGTAAAGATCAAAGAGGAAAGACTGGCAAACGTCCTGACATTATGTTTATGGTGAAGCGTGGGAAAAAAATCTATGAATTAATGTTTGCTGAATGCTCCTGTATTTTTTGTGATAAAGATAAGGAAGAAAACGATTGGGTAAAATTATGGCGAGAGATGAATGACAGTATGTATTGGGTACATAAAGGCTGTAAACCAAAAAAAGATGAATTCGGAATTATTGGGATACAAATTGCTGGACAAAAACTTCATCTGAATATCCTTATTCGAGATAAAGATGATATAAATAGGCTTTTTAGATTACGTTCAATGGATATCCTGATACAATTCACAGATAGAGATACTGTTTATAATTTTGTGGAGATATTATTGCTATTTCAGGTATGGATTTACTTGTCTATTTTTTTATGGCGAATCTATATCTAACTTTTTTTTATAGAGAATCCTAATCGTCAACCTATCACTATTATTAAATGCGGATCATGATTCACATGGAGATAAAGAAGATAGTTCAACAGTATCATCCCCTCCATATGAAAATTAAAACTCCATTATTATCTATATTATTTTTATCTATCCTGTATCTTATTTTATTTTTTACCGCATAAATAAATCCGACCGTGGTGGTCGTTACTTTAAAACTTTATTGATATTGATATTGATATGTAAAAATTATTTTTAACAGAAAAATTTCAATGTAAAGGCTGGCCTATGTGATAAATTCGTGGTATTGGTCCGAAGTAAAAGATTTACGGGACATATTTGACGTATATATTAATATGGATAAACAACTTCATTTTTTTGAATTAATTTCAGATAAAAAACATGGATGAACATAAGACAAATGGTTACATAGACCTTGCTTTATTTTACGAAATAAAAACTTTACTGAAGTAAAGACATAAAAAATATAGCCCCAGAAGGACATACTATTACACAATACAAATATAAATAAAAAAATCTAATTATTCATTCCCTGGTTCACGTAGGAAGTATGCAATAATGTGATATATGTTTCTAGGAGGATTATCGTTGAAAAACTAGAGATTGGAGCTGGTGATCGCATGCGCCTTTCATCTACACTTCCAGAATAATAAATCTGGCGAATGTCGAGAGGAATATTATTGAATGGAGGTGACAATTGATTCTGAATTGCGGTTTGGAGATCATCAACCGTTGCATCTCTGGAAATCGTAATTGTAAGTACAACACTATTGATTGAAAGTTGATTACGTGGGCTATTAGGAATAGCAAGACAATTGAGAGTAATATTGTTGTTGGCCATTTTCACGTTTCCTAAATACGAAAACCCATAGTAAGTAAAATTTCGCTTTCATAGATAGGGCTTTGTTATAAACAATGAATACGAGTAAGTCGGATACGTTACCTCATAAAAATTTTGGGAAGACATGAGGATTTGTAAGTGTGGACAGTGAGATTTGAAAATTTTTTAATTTTATTAATATTAATTAGCACCAAAAATTTATATTAAAATGATCGACATTTCTCTGATTTATTCACGAATCACCAATTAATAATGTTATTGAGACCCAGGACAACCAGAAGAACATACAAAGATGCTGGTAGCGCCAGTATTAGAAGATAATATTGTATATATGTTTTTATGTATATGTTTATATATATATTTAATAAATTTTATGCGCCTCTTTGAGTGCTAGTTTTATAATTCATTAATTACATGATGTGGATATATTCAAAAGTTTGAGTTAATAAAAATTACATGAGTGCATGAAAAAATTTCACACTGATCACTTTGTCAAGAAAAATTTTTTCAATGAAGCTACATCGCAAAAAAACCACATGACTGAAATTTGCCAAGAAAAATTCTTGATTATATGCAACATTGATGACCGTATAATGTAATAAAACATATATAAAAATGAACCTTTTCAAGTAAAACCTTATTAGGTTCTTAAGAGAAAATTATTTTTATTACTAATCTCAGCTAACCATACTGTACTATTATAATAGATTTTCATCTAGTATAAGAAGTAATGACGAATCCTGGATAATGCTTCTAACACACCTCTTCTTCCATTTGGTTCTGCAAGATCAAAACCAACAATTGGATCACTACTATTCCCTGGCCATCTTAAAACTGTGATTGATTGCTGTCGTGGGCAACCTATAGCAAGTTCATTCCAATAACTTTTACTGATTGTAGCACGGTAAAACGTAACATAAGTGAAAACCACACGAACTGCAAATATAGTCATATTAAAAGCCTCACGAGCTTGACGTATATTTTCATCCCCACAAGCAAGAATTTCAGCACCTATTTGGGGTTCCCCATAGTCATTGGTTGGCCTAATGTTATTTAGATGTTTATCCTATTAAAAAGATTGTTTGAATTAGCAAAAATACACATTTGTCAAGCAATCAATAACATACAGACCTCAATGACCAATAAAGAATAGTTTCTATAATTAATTACAAATTCGGCTTTTGCTGACAAAATTACATTTCCAACGTAAAATTTAAACAATGGATGTAATCTAAGTTTGAATGTAATGCAATCTTTAAGAAACTATTAAAGTATATCATAAACAAAAGACATTTCCACCAATACTAACTTAACCACCAAGGGCCATCTATCAAATTCGATAACACGAAATATTAAATTGGCTACCAATGTATCAGTAGAAGCTTCGCTTGTTCCTATAACAAGTTTCGTATTCTTGACAACTTCGTGCAATTTGTAAATGAATGTTTTAACATAATCATGATCATTTTGACATAATTGGTCAATATCTAGCTCTTCCATTGCGAGCACGGTATGGTTGACACCTGGGAGAATGTATTCTTGTGGAATGTTGACTATATGAAATTAAGTTGTAAGTATTGAGTTTGCTAAGAGGAATGTTGATACAACGTACCATTTCTATTAGGAATAACTTCGTTCGCTTGCGTAGCTGAGCAGAAACTCACTCTCAATGAACGAACATCTCGAGTATTGAATGATGATGCAGAATTGCTGAGAAAGTCTGGGTTGTGTAGATGTTCTGAATTTTCACTACCACTGGACCTGGTTTGTGACATGTTTTGTACTAAAAAAAAGAGAATCTAGAAATAATTTTTGTTGCACAGCCCCATCAAACGTGTACAACATACAGATTATCTGATTGATTATGCGGAGGGATTATCAAATTTAAATTTCTTCCTTTACTCAACTATCAACCTCTAAGAAAGATTCTTTCAAATATATTAACGGAATTCCTTCCAATTTTCACGAAGAAGTCACGGTCAAAGACTTTATACTCCACTCGACTCAGAATCACGCCTAGGAAATTCTATTAGGTCAAGTTTTTCATCGCAATTGGGATAAGGACATACATTCGGATAAGCAAGTAAAATCTTTTTTTCGAGACAAAGTCTATGAAACGTATGTCCACATTTCAATGTTGTGAAAGATTTGATATGAGGAGACGAAATAATCTTCTTGTCGCATTCTGAACAGTTCAGCTCTGATAAATCCTTACCACTGACAATGGGATCTTCGAATTCTTTTAAGATATTATATGCAAGGGCTTTAAGGTTAGAAATGGCCATAATACTACGTCAGATTATATCCGATATTTATTTTGTAATAGTAAGTTGAACCACTCATTCTAATAACGTGTGTTTTATAATACTAGTAGTTTCAATGGGTCACTCTGTTAAAGATGCAAAACACTACAATCAATAAATTAGTAATTTCGGAGCAATATTTCTCATGAATGGGATTAATCTATTCTCTATGGGCGATCTCGGACGATTCTCCTACAACATCATACATTAATCGTTTTTCTATGGGCGATCCGTTACCTTTACCAATCATAATAGTGGGGCTAGTGTCAAAGACACATATTTGCATAATTTCTCTGATAGGTAGGAGCTTATCCCACATCTGAATTTTTGATTTTGCTTTTTCCTAGATTCACATTGCAAAAATGATGAAGGCAATTCAGACCCCCAAAAACCAATCAATTTTTAGGTACTATGGAAGATGAATGAATTGCAGAAAAAATAAGAGACCCTGAAGCTTACTATAGAAAATGGAATAAAACTCCCAGGCTCAATTAGAAAACCAATTTAATAAGAATAAAAGAGAGAAAGTTTACTGAATGGTTAATTGTGGAATATTATTGTGCCTTCTAGTGAAGATTAAGAAACATAAAAGTTAATTAATGGCATCTGGGGCTTTTTTATTTAGTATAAAAATTATTTAATTACATTTTGTGCTGGCTTGGGACAAGTGGTGTCTTTAAACTCATCTTTTACAAATGGGAGGATATTGTTATAAAGGTATTCTTGTTTTTTATAATCCAAAGGAGGAGATGTTAATACTAAAATAGATAAAGTTCTAATTTCTTCAAAAATATCTGCTTTCTTGGTTTTCAATAAATTGAATTCAGCAAAAGGTCCATTAGCAACTTCTTGGACTTTCACTGTACCAAGGTTAGTTGCTTCAAAAAGAAAATGTTGATATATTCCCAAAATTGCTTTAATATCTAACTATTAAAAACCTTTCCCACTCTCATAACATTGGGCTTTATTTAATCCTGCTGGACTTGACTTTTTTATTACCTCAACCACATGACCCAGACAATCTACTCTTGTTTTCCTATAAAGTTTTTTAATCAAGCCAATACTATCATCACATTTGAATTTGGGATGTCCTGGAACCATGAAATTTAGTTCAATGCTTTCATAATAACCACAAATTACTAAATATAAATAAAACCAAATTGTTACATTATTTTTATTTTGTCCACCAGCATTGTCACAAGTGATCTTTAAATGCTTTTCACCTTTGTTCAATTTCTTAATTCCATCAAAAATCATGCTAAGTGTACCATTAGGGCCTTTTCCTATAATTTCATTCTCATTAAGAACATAGTTGAGCTGCTTCATCTTGAATACCAAATAAATGAACTTACATAGACTTGTTGTATAACTTTGAGGGTTCTGGGACAAGACTAGGATAATTTACAAAAAAATCCAGGATTTTTTCCCAGTTTGCATCTACAAGATCATCAGCAAATTTTTTGTACATAAAATCTATATAAATATTATGCAATTTTATATAAAATTATCCATGTAAATTTTACAACCCTCAATAAATTTTATGTAGTTATAAAAATTATAAATTTGTAAATTTGTATAAAAATTACA